AAGCGGCAAAATCGACCCTGCTGGTGTACCTCTGTTATCATGAACGGTTCTCTCCATTTCTTCATTAACTTCTTTGTTCCTCCAGGGATGACATTCTGAAACACCCATGATTACTGTTCCACAGTGTACGGTTTTGCTTGTAGTAATTTTTCATTATATTTTTTGCGTTTCCTCATCTGCGCTTGAGCAGCGTTCCTTCAACACAGTTGATTCAACTTTTGATGTCCTTTGATCGCCTCCCTCATGTAGGCATGGGGTGAAAACTTTTGCCCCACGTAATCCGGCTAGAAAAGGTAAATGGCGTTGCCTTTTCTCTGCTTGTCAGCATCATGAACGGACAGATCCCTGTTGTCGAGTGTTGCGTGCTGTTGTATGCTCCCACCACTTGTTTCAAGTTTTTTTATCCTCTTCTGTCATATACCTCGCGCAGTACACTCTAAGCATATTCACCAGCGTCCTATTTTGCCTTTCCATCATTCCACTCGGCTGTGGGTGGTAGGTCGTCGAGTGTGTTTGGGCGATACGAGATCTTTTCATCATTTCTTTCGATAGATCCCCAACGAAGGCCTTCCCGTTGTCTGACTGAAAGATCATGGAACAACCGTATCTTGAAATCCAGTGTGCAATTTACTGATCGCAAGTTTCTTCCGCAGAGGCCGCTTGACAGGTACTGCTTCCGCGAGTTTCGTGAAGAGGTCTATGGTTACCAGTATCTGGTCATACCCCGTTTCTGTCGTGCAGATTTTTTGGTGGACCATCTGCACGATCTCATTGAATACTGAGCTTTCCACCGACTTGAGTGGGAACATCATCTTCCTAAGGAATTCCACTACTTGAAAACATGACAAACATGCGTTGATCCATCTCTCACAGGCCTTCCTCATTCCAGGCCAATCAAACTTGTGTAGTATTCTTTGTTGCACCTTGTCTTTTCCTTGATGCCCCATTTTTTCATGCGAGCTGAACAGCACCTCCGTCTGATACAGCTGCGATAGTAAGATGAGGTTATGTTTGTGAAGTGTTTTTTCTTCATCTTTTCTCTTGCAGGCCACCACGCAATACGCCGTGTGATAAAGTAGTCCCTTCCGTTCCTTGTAGAACTGGCTCAAGATTTTGTGGCTTTCTTCCTCCAGATCCTCTTCCTCTTTTTCCTCTGCTATGATATATTTGGAGAGGTGGCTGGTCATCTTGTCATTCTTTTGTGCCCGAGTCAATTCTGATAACCTGTACCTCAATTTCACATGCTCCTTCAGAGCGATCATTTGCCCTGTCATCTCTCCAGGATTGTGCATATAATCTCTTGAATTTGACAAACACTATCCTGCTTAAGATTTCCCTGTCATTCTCGGACTCTAGATTCGTCCTAACGTTCGAATTGCATGACAACTCCCTGAAGGGTTTTCTTGATACCGCTATAATTTCAAGCTCTTCTCCTCCATTTGCATCATCACAGTCTAAATTGTATATTCCAGAAAAGGGGTCCGCATGCATTTCTCTATCCTGATTCCTCTTTTTTGCTTCTGCTAGTATCATGCACAAGCTTTCTTGCTCCTCTTCACTTTCCATGGAGCTTTCGTACACTTCTTCTGACTCCCCGGACAAAATTTCTCCCTCACCGTCTTCTTCTTTCAACAACCACTCCCCTGACTCTTGATCTGCTCGGATCTCTTCAGCCTCCTCTTTCAATGACTCTTTTTACCTCCTTAGTGTTGTCTGCTTGAGTAAATCCTCTGGGATATTTTCGACTAACGTCCGCACCTTGTCTTTACTCTCTAGATTTCTGTCCTCCAACTCGTTTTTTTTCGCGTGAGCCTATTTGTTTCTCCTCATTATCGTGATTTTTGGCTCAATATTTCTATTGTTCGTGTCCACGTGTTTCTGAAGCAATGTCCTTGATTCTTGTCCCACTACTGCTCTCCCTCTCTCAACTTTTTCTATGTCGTAACCTTTCGCCTGACCAGTTTCGACTTGAGCAAGAATTCCATCGGCATTCCCTGGGGTCTCGTCTCCCCGGGATCTCTGTCTGCTGGTGTTCATTTGGTTTTTCTGGGTGATCCTCGACTGGTTTCCATGACTTGTCGAGTCATCTTGTAAGTGTCCATCTTTAATTTCAGGCCTGTCAGCCTTCCTTTGCTCTTCTTTCTCGTAAAATTCCGTTTTCTTAATCAAAATGTCTGCATTCTGGTGTTTATTTCTGGTCATGTGCTAAATTATCATATTGTAACCATCTAACCGTACGATCTATTGCCCGATGTAAAACTGATCCATTTAGTACGCTTTCAGCCAAGAGAGTGCTCTGTTGTCAACCCGTAGTTTGAATGGCTCACTGCCCATATATGCTCTGCTTTTCTTCACGAAGGTGACAACTGCTAAAATTTCCCTGTCGTGTCGCTCAGGATTTAGCTTTTGGTCTCAATACAGTCTTGCCATTCCACTCTTGCTCTTGATGGAGTATGCCTGAAATCGCGACCACTGAAGTGTCTGTATCTAGGACGTACACGCCATTCTCTGTTGGCTTACCCAATACCGGAGCCTCATACAACTCTCGTTTTATTCTCTGAAAAGACTCCCATGCTGCGTTGTTCCACGTGAATTTCTTGCCCTTGCGTCTCATGAGTTGTTGCATCGGGTCTACCTTGACCGCGTAACCTTTGATGAACTCTCTATAGTAGTTCGCGAAACCAAGAAAGCTCATTAGCTGATGTTGAGTCTTTGGTGAATTCCAAGACAAAATTGCTTCTACATCATCTGGATCTGGTCGGATGCCATGCTTGTCCACCATCTCCCTGTGTGTTTTATCGAGTCTTTCAAAATCTCGCACTTCAAACCTGCTCTTTTCATACGTGCAAGCACTTCGTTCAATCGCTCGATGTGATCCTCGAAGGTTGGCGTCGCGATAACCACGTCAACCACATAACACATTACAAAACTTCCATATTTCTTCGTTATTCTTGTCAGTGCTTGTGAGATCAGTCGTTGGAGGAATGTGGCTGTCGCGTTGCATAGGCCGAATGACATCCTCTTTCATTGAAACAATTCCAACTCGCAAGCAAACCTCGTTTTCTCTCTTTCTTGTTTTCTAAGTAGTACCTGCCAAAAGGCCGACCCCAGATCAAGAGTTGTAAGATATTTGGCATCCCCCAATTTTGAATAGTTCTCGTCTATCCTCGGGATGGGATAAGCATCCTTCTCATTGACGGAAATCAGATATCGAAGGTCACAACAAAATCTCAGTTGATCTCCTTTCTTTTCGGCCATCACTACTACACACACCCACGGTGATTTGAATGGTTCTATCATGTAATAACCCAGTAGCGTTTCTATGTCTTTTCCACATGCATCCGACTTATGTGGGGTCTGCGCCTCGCCCCCTCCCTGTGACATCCTGAGTCGTAGCTAACACATCCTTGATGATTTCGAGTTGTTCGACCGTTATTTTTCCCCTTAAAGGTTCAATTTCTCGTATTACCGGACTATACATTTCCAATGCCTCTGGTGTGGGTCCTTCTGGAAAATTCAACCAGCTCGACAGTCCATCGTCTGATTCTGACTTGAGTGAATTGACAAAAATTGACGAAATTTTCATTCGCTTCAATCTACTCAAGACATAAATCTTGTCCTAATGATTGGGGGAATCAAGAACTTCATACTTTTTAACATTTTTAGTCATTTCAGATCTTGTTTTCACCAGCAACGCCTATCCCAGTTTCCTCCCTCTCTAGATTTTGATTGGTATATCAAGAGTATTCGACAAGACACTGAAGCAGAGGCCACCCTTGGTGATCGAGAATGATCTTCCACTAAATAGCAGCACTTTGGCTGTTTGGATTTGGTACTATGCATATGTGCTTATTATCACTGAGTTCATTGTAGTTCTTCATTCTCAAGCTTACAATTGCAACATCATTAGCTTCAACCTCACCCTCCTGTTCGAGAAAACTGGAGCTTTGCTCTCCTTTTTCATTATCAATCTTATCGGTTTTAATACGTACTTCCTTTCTGGACTTCAAATCCTGAACATCGCTTTGTTCAGATCAATCGTTACATCAAAGTTCCAGATAAAATCCCTGCCTACAATGAATTGATCCTATTTGTTTAGATTTTTTACTACAAGAAACCTTCTCCACAGATTAAGTTCCCCAAATTTAATGCTACTATCGGTGTTCTGCCCAGGACTCTTAGCGCCTTTTTGTTTGCCGCTGACATTCGGATTCTGGAGTCTAATAGGTCTATTCTGTCAAATCCCATCTATCTCCATGTTTCTATTGGGGTCACACTCAAGGCAGCTCCCGTATCTGGTAGCACCTTCAAACGCGTCTTTTTTCCATTTGTATTCAGTACATGTGCGGACACATCTGCTTCTGTTCCCATATGCATCGGGTCTTCCTCTAGCATGGCGCAATGTGAAATTGATCTCACTTGCAGTTCGTCTCGACCCACGAAGATCTGGTCATCATCGTATGTTATCATCGTCTTTTTCTTTATGTTGAATCCATCTAATTTTAGCATGACCTCGTGTAGACCACGGTGTATCTGCTGTCTATTCTTATCCTTTTTCCGCCGCCTCTGCTTGCTCTCGAAGGAGTATAGGATCGATGGTTTGCAAATAGTCAGCATATACGTCCATGTGCATCAGTGTTTGTTCACTTGATTCGCTGAGAATCCTCATTCCTTAGTGACCACCTTTAGTGATTATTGACATTATTCTCACTCTATCTTCGTGATCCCGAAAGTTTTTCAGCTTCCACTTTCAAGGCATTGCAGTTGTCTCTGATCTTCAGATTGTCGCTTATCTCTGCCTCGGCTTTTTCTGCTGAAAGTGTCTCATCTCTTCGCCGTCTTTCTATTTCCTCTCTGAGCCTTTGTTCGATTTCCTTTGTTGCCAAGTCTTGCTTTACTTCATTTAATGCATCAGCTGCTGCTTTCTGTTAGTTCATCGCCAGCCTGCCCTTGGCTTCTGCACCCTCAATTTTTTTTGGTCACCGCTCTCACAGATGTTGTCACAAGACAGTCTTGCCATTCCACTCTTGCTCTTGATGGAGTATGCCTGAAGTCACGACCACTGAAGTGTCTGTATCTAGGACGTACACGCCATTCTCTGTTGGCTTACCCAATACCGGAGCCTCATACAACTCTCGTTTTATTCTCTGAAAAGACTCCCATGCTGCGTTGTTCCACGTGAATTTCTTGCCCTTGCGTCTCATGAGTTGTTGCATCGGGTCTACCTTGACCGCGTAACCTTTGATGAACTCTCTATAGTAGTTCGCGAAACCAAGAAAGCTCATTAGCTGATGTTGAGTCTTTGGTGAATTCCAAGACAAAATTGCTTCTACATCATCTGGATCTGGTCGGATGCCATGCTTGTCCACCATCCCCCTGTGTGTTTTATCGAGTCTTTCAAAATCTCGCACTTGAAACCTGCTCTTTTCATACGTGCAAGCACTTCGTTCAATCGCTCGATGTGATCCTCGAGGGTTGGCGTCGCGATAACCACGTCAACCACATAACACATTACAAAACTTCCATATTTCTTCGTTATTCTTGTCAGTGCTTGTGAGATCAGTCGTTGGAATGTGGCTGTCGCGTTGCATAGGCCGAATGGCATCCTCTTTCATTGAAACAATTCCAACTCGCAAGCAAACCTCGTTTTCTCTCTATCTTGTTTTCTAAGTAGCTCTCACAGATGTTGTCAACAGTTCATCCTTTATCACGTCCTTGTTCTGCAGGTCACTCTCAGCCTGTCTGTTTCTGGTATTTTGCACAGCCGCTAGCGCTAAATTGTATTTTGGATGCTTTTTGTTCTTTACTGCTTCCCAAAACAGAGGACAATCCATTCTGAAATGACCTTCCTGGCTGCAGAAAAAATATCTCGCGCTAACCTTGATTATTAAGCCACTGTAGAATTCATGTTCTTCCATCCGGTCCGTGTTGTCTTCATCTGGTGCATAATGCAGGCTTTTCATGCCTTGTTTGTAAGAGGTGCAGTCCGCTACGTGATGATTTGCCGACTCAAAATTTGCACACGATCTGCGTTTGTCCATATCGTCTCTCGGTTTGTACCACGTCGACCTTTGTTGCTGGCTGCCTGCTTGAAGATTTTGATTGTCCAAAAATGAAGAATTCTCCGGTTTCATTAACATTTTTTCTCAATTTCTGTCTCAACTTCTCAGGGGTCGGTGCGATATCGTTCGATAGCGTGTAATAGGTTGCGAACATTGTTTCCACATTTGAAACAATGCTAAAATTCCTCTAATGGTTGACTCCTCCAGATCACTTCTTCTTCTCAAGCTCTCGAGGTTAGCCAAAAAACGATCAATTGATTCATAATCTTTTGTCTCTTTTTCTCAAACCTGATCATAGCCTAATGTCTCTTCATTCCATATCCGAAACAGTTCAATAGTATCTCGAAATTTTTTTCCTTGTATCACGTTTTTCTTCCTTTTTGGTTACCACGCACTTCATTACCGTGCACTCCGGATTGCTTCATATAGCTGTGCAGGCTTGTCTTCCATCATTCAAGTAGTCTCGCTTGAGATTTAGCCTCATTACCTCAACCCAGGTATCTATGCCCCTCCCAGTTTTAAGGTTCTTTCCCAACCCAGGTATCGGAGGGCTTTCTCGACTTGCTTCCCCTCTTTTGCTTGTTTCCGTGTTTCTCGTGGCAAGTGCTTCGTTGTGTCTTGTTCATCATTCCCGAAGTGTTTGCCCATGCCATGGCATCCTTTTGAATTTTACGCGCCTTCTTTTGTTGCTGTTTTTACCGTCTCTGATCTAATGACATTGTGGATCTGAGGTAATGGAGTTGATTTTTGTTTTTTGCGATGCGGTTCCGCAAAGTCCACCCTTGTTCCGGGTTGTTTCAACGTTTTCTCTGGTACTGTTTTATCTTGATTAAAAGAGTTTTTCAAGAGCGTATCCAATTTAGACTGTATGGCTAAGAAACTCTCAGCCTAATCTCTGCTCATCGTGTCGATCCTCGTCTGCGGACTCCAGAGCTTGTCGTTTAGGTTTTATACCGTCTATTCAGCTCTTCCATATCCTTTTTGATCAACTTCTCCCATTCCTTGTCAGTCGTTTCTACTCTTTCAGCCATCTGTTGTAACTTCGCCTCTGCTACTCTTGCTAAGATGAAAAAGTTATCCAGATTATCGTTCTTATTATGATGGACCTCTCTTTTTTTCCTCTCGCTCTTCCTCGCTACTCCTGCTACTCCTGAGCTTTTTGTCCATCTTATTTAATTTTAGCATTAAGTCTCCCAAAACCACCGGCGGAACTTTCAGTTCTGTTACAAGCTTTGCTGAAAGAACCGCTGTCTTCTCCGCGGACCTCATGCTCTGTTCTCCTCCTTCGCCGACCTCTGCTTTTATGGCGGAAACCGCTCCAAATGTTTTGCCTTTGTCAGTCCCTGTGGTCACCTCTTCTTTATGGCTTGTTTTTATCCTCACAATAGCTGCAATTATCTCTGTCTTCTTTGTCTGTGAATTGTCCTTCGTCGTTTCCAGTGTCTTGCTAGTGACCTCGTTTCCATTGCCTATTGGTGAGAACTCAATTGTTTTTGTTTCTTGCTCTTCAACGTTTGGCATTGGCGTCGATTCTGTCGTTTTCCTTTCGACGTCATCAAAAATTTGTTCAGGTGTCTCAAGGTCTACTTCGGTGACAGGCGCACTTCTTCGTTTGTTGAGTTTTTCTTCAGTTGTCTCGAGCACTTCTCTCTTTTGTTTGTTGCTGCAAAAGTTCACCATCCTATCTGAAACATGTTTTTTCTTTAGTTTTGGTTTTGTTGTTACCGGTGCATGTCTTGGTTACTTTAATGGGCGATTTTGACTTTGCCCAACTCCGTGTTTCTCTGGTAACGACCCTTTTGCTCTCTTCATGTTTTTTTTTAATTTTTGTCTAGGTACAATCTCGTCTATGTACAAGTGTTCAAAAAATTTATTTATCAATGTTAAATAACAGAAAAATCTGCCACTCTTCTTTTTATTGTAAAGTTTTAAAAAACAATATCATTAGATTATGTTTAACAGTCCGATTTAAAATTTAGTTTTCCTAGTGGCTTATCTGATTGTTCCTAATCAAAGTATTTGACCTTGGACTACTAATTTTTTTATCCGATACCTCAAAAAATCCAGGTGCCCTGGAGCTGTCTATGCCTCTCGAGTCTTCTTTCACTTAGTGTTGGGTAGTTGATTTGCCTTCCCAGGACCAAGTGTTGGGACACCTAATTTGCTCGCTAGTACTAAGTGTTGCGACACTGCATTTGCCTTCCCAGAACTCAAGTGTCGGGACATTTAATTTGCCTTCCCAGGACTCAAGTGTTGAGATACTTAATTTACCTTCCCAGGACTCAAGTGTTGGGACACTTAATTTGCCTTCCCACCA